CCCCAAAACCCCAAAACCCCAAAACCCCTTTCGAAATATTTGAGGTTGAGTTTATCTACTTGCCATTACTTTGATAAGTCTTTTAATGTTGATCGATGGCTTCTTTAAAGCCTTCTTCTCTGTCTTATTTTTAACTACCACTCTTCTGCTACTCTTCTCAGAACTTGGGTCGCAGAACCCATCTGAGGATTTCTTCTTATGTGGTGTTGCATAATGAGAATTGTTAAGCTCAATTCGCTTCACTTTAATGCTATCCTGACCAGATTTTGATTGTGGTTCGTCAGGAGTCTCTATGTCTTTGTCAGAGTCCTCCTTTGTTTGTGGCATATTGTCATTATTAGGTTGAACTTTGATCAAGTCGCTTCCTAAAGATTATAAAGGAGAATTTACCACTGGGATTATAGTTAGTAACATATTCGCTTGCTGGATCTGACTTCTGGGGTTGGAAATAAGCTTCTTCCATATTGAACTTCAGATCCTGCACTTTATTTAATATTTGGGCTATGTTTTTGAGATGTTGAGTAAATCTTCTCACTCGAGCCCATCCTCTTAATCCCTGAAATATCTTCGCGGGAGTTTCTGATTATAGAATCGCGCTTAAGAGATTCTTTCCTTAAAAGATTTCCTGGTATTTCTGATGTCTTAGTAATATTTTGATTAGGATTTAGATTTGACTGGTAACCTTCAAATTTGATTTTCTTCTGCAATTTAGCATCTTGAACAGGCGATTCATTAGGTTGAGCCTTTGTCTGGACTCTGCGGCTTATTGTATTCTTCTTTAAACTTAGAATCTCCACCTTTTGTTCTAGTTCTTTAACGATTTCTGTCATATTCTCTAGAATAAAATTAAATATGCTGGTCAAGGAAACTTTTGAGCATAAAGTGTTTTTCTTAAATATTGAGAAATTTGCCTAAAGCAAAAACTTTTAGGAAGGTGATGGTCAATACCAGAGTAAGAAATCAGATTCATTGTATAACGAAATATAGATTTTGGATTGCATAATATTATACTTTACTGCTTTTTGTCATGACAAAATGACACACAAATGAGAAAGAATAATAATTTTGAGTTTTATTAAATTCCAAAGTAGCCTATTTTCATCACAAAATGTCTTCTACTCCCCCTATACCCATTATTTTATCCAAACTCCTTCATTCTACCCTCTCTTCCCCATCCCCTTCTTCTATCCTTACCATTATCCTTGTCCGCATCCTCAAGTTGCTCCTCCAACTTCCTGATTTCATTCTGTGCGTCTTCATAACAAGTCTCTAACTCAGAATATTTCATAAGCATTTGCTCTACCTCCTCGTCTCTGCTATCAGCTCTTGCTTCAATGATGGAGTTATTAAACTGGAGCACATTAATTTGGTTAGATTTGTTGACCAGGTCTTCCTCCTTCTTCCTCATAATCTCGAGGATATTTTTCTAAACATTAGAAGACTCTTACTAATTTTTGCTGGTCTCGAAAGTGCCGAGACAGAAGATCCTCGCTAAACATTTGAGCTGAGTTTATCTCACTCATTAGAGAAGACTCTTTTTGTCCAAGCTTCTTCTGTGCCTGGTATTCTATTTCAATCTTTTGTGATTTTAGTTGCTCAACAATAATGGAATTTGTGGAAAAAGTTCTCTCTAAATTTTCATTCCTGACTTGGAGTTTATCAACCTTATCGAGGAGGGTTTTAAGCTGAGATTTATATTGTTCAATTTCCTTTTCGGCAAGTTCCTGATTTGCCTTGGTTTCAGCAAGTTCTTTGGATACTTCAATGAATTTATTAGCATCGAAGAATGATTTCTCCTCAGTTTCTCTTTCTTCCTTCCAAACTTTCTGATGCTTCTGGATATTTTCACTAATCTCTTGATCTTTTTTTCCAAAATAATAGCCTTGTTTGATCATGAGTTCTTTGAAATTTTGAAACTCAATTTCAATCTTCTCCTTAGCCATTCTCAGATCATTGCATATCTTTTCTTTATTGACTAGATGCTGAGTAGCAGTGTCATAATGCTCTCGAAACTCTAAGATTTTGTTCTCTTTCATATTGACTTCACGCTCGAGAGATTTAATGACCTTCAGCCGATGCTCAGAGAGCAATTCAAAATTACCTCTGGATTGGGAAGCCTTCTTCATCTGGATTAATGTGTTGTCGTATTCTACCTTCGAATGGGTGTATACCTCTGATAGGTTTCTAAACTGAATCTCTAAAGATTCCATCTTATCCTTGATCTCCTTATTCTCAGCACTAAGTGTTTCTGATGTAGCTTTATAAAAGTCAAGTCTCGACTGCATCTCATTTGTGATTTCTTCATGGCCTGCACATTCTGTTTGATAATGGCTCTTTTCATTAAGTGTTAGATCAAGCTTTCTAGAAGTGAGCAGATATCTTACTCTGTGGTCTCTTCTGCTTTGGCTTTGTACATATCTAGCAATTTCTCATCTTGGTTTACTTTCATGGTAAGCTGCTCTACTTTGGTGTTATAAGTCCGAATGATATCATCTTTATTTCTCATTGCTAAAAATTTAAAAGTTTTATTACATAATTTCATGAGTTTGGCCTTTTCTTCATAATCAGAAATTTCCCTGAATTAGAGATAATACACAAAGTCTTACGATTGAGCAGTCATGAATTTCTTCTGTATCTGAGAATACTTCTCTTCATATATTTTATAGTTATTCTGACTCACGTCTAATTCTCTTTTAACTTTCTTTAAGTTTTGTTGCATTTGTTCTAATTTCTGGGCAGTTTCAGCTTTATAGAGAGCCAATTCATTTAATTGACTCTTGAAGTCGTCTAATTCATCATCTGCCTCTTTATTTCTCCTCTGAATTTTCTCATAGTATTTGAAGTACCTATCTCTTTCAGCTTTGAGATTTCTGTTGCTTGCATGGACTTTGTTTAGCTGTAGAATTATTGAATATTCTTACTTTCTCTTCAAACTCCATTCTCATTCTGACCTCTGTTTCTAAATTTTCTTTCAGAATTAGGTAGTCTCTCTCAATTCTCTCTTTAGATTTACGATGGTTGAAAGCCTCTTTTTCTAATTTTTCCTTGAGATCTTCAAGCTGATCCATTGCTAAGATAAGAGACTCTTTTTCTTGTTTAAGACTCTCAATTTCATGCTCATATTTATGCTCAGTTTCTTCTTTTTGATTCTCAAAGTCTTTCTCAATGTCTTGGAGTAAGGAATCATAATCTGTTTTGCATCAATACTCAAGAAGAACAGAAAATGTCTTCCAGATATTCTTGATTATTTTATACTTGCCATTTGTATGTTTTAATAGCTTCGTGAGAAGTTGATGGAACCCCGTGCTGTAAACAAATAAGCACCTGTAGATACGGTCAATAACTTCCTCAGGAATTCCAGCATTATTAAGAGACAGCCTATCAATACCATATTGATTAATGATCCTACTATTCTCCTTAAGAAGCTGTTTGGGAAGTTTCAGACTATCAGCACTCTCCAAAGTATCATTAAGCCATTGCTCGATGCATTTGCTCCCAATTTTAGGACCAGTCAAGAATACCTTCTTGGTCGATGATAAGGATTGATAACTTCTTCTTTGCTCATTACTTCTGTTAAAATTCCGTCTATTCTCTAAAAAGTAGCAAGGATATTTACCGGCCATCTTAACTGTTTGAGGACTCATATTATCCCAGGTAACTTTATTTCAAGACTTTTTGTTTATATTCATTCCTAAATTTAACTGAAAGAGTTACATTGAGGACTTTGCAAGATGTCTTGAATTATAGTTCAAGGATAGATCAGGCAAAAATAAAGATAAGTCATGATTCTGAGTAGAAGTTCCTCCCATCATTAAAGAGTCAAAAGCCTTATTAGAGCTATTCTTTTCTATAAATGGAGTGTCCTCGGATATTTTATTCCTGCTTTTAGATTTCACTGTAGTGCTAGTGACACTTTGTTGGTAGAAGTCCAGATCAGAAACCTTTTTCATCTTTTATTTTTATTTCAATCTTGCAGTTAATTTAAGGGGTTTTGGGGTTTTGGGGTTTTGGGG